AAGGCTTTGAAAGCGTAACTTTTGAAAGAAATATCAGAAAATCGTTTAAAAACTTAGAGAAAACATGGATCTGGAACAGATCTATAGAGATCAAAAAAACCTCAAAAGTTAGGGTTTCAGAGAAACCCAAACGGTGAGAAAGGCTTGGATCTAAGTAGGAGGAGTCGAGGCCAGGCTCGAAACAGACATGGCTTTCCGGAGCAAGGCCGGAGATGGCCGTGAAACTTGAATCAACAAGGGTCTGGACCCAGCTCTTCGTGGTCAAGTTATGAAACTTCAGTAACCAAGCGTGAGGAGCCATAGAAGGCTGGTGGGTGGTGAAACCACCATGGATTCAGGCCAGGAGGTGGCCAGAGAAGATGGATGGAGCTCATCGGAGAGGAGGGGAAGGGTGAAGGTTCTAGAGAGAACCAGAGATAGAGAGAGAGTTGGTTGAGTGAGGAATGAGAGGGGTCTTGGGGGGTCGTTTGGTTTAATTTGGTAAGGGCGGATCTGGACCGTTGATTAAAAATGATCAACGACCAGGATTTAGTCCGGGTTGGGTTGGGTAGATTTAGGATTGGGCTTGGGTCTTGGGTTGGTTTAATTTGAGTTGGGTATTGGGTTTAATTAGGCCAAATTAAAAGGCCAAATGTGGCTATAAGTTAAATAGCCCCTTTTTCCCATTTAATTTATAAAAAAATAATAAACAAATTTCTAAAAACAAACTAAAAGTACTAAAATGATTTATAACGTATAATTATCAATTTAAAACTACAGAATCCCATTTTATAAACATGAGACAGATTTAAACATAAAATGGGTAATATTGCAATTACGCAATTTTATCCTTAAAAATGCCAAATAAATTTTTAAAAATGTGTGAAAAAATATCTTAGCTATATTTTAATATAAACATGAGAATACAATAAATAAATTACCAAAATGATAATTTGGGAATAATTATTGGGTTTTTCTTGATAAAATAAGGTAGTAAATTGATTTGAAAATCTTTGAAACATTAAGAAAAAATAATGTAACATTGGGATATACTTATATATGCATATACATGCTATTTTGAAAGGTGTTTTGCATATAAAAAATACAGGAAAAAATTGGGTATCAACATCCATTCCTTGTGTTCTTTGGCCACTGGGCCGGGCTTTCCTGCGTATATCTGCTTCGGGGTCTGCGCATATATCTGCGTTCAAAGCAATGTGCGAACTAACATCAATAGGTTCCACATTTGGCACTTCCCTGGGTTTATCGGTGATACACCGACTCCTGCATTGCTGTTTTCTCAAAGACCTTCGTTGTCATGAATAGGTGCGTTTTGTGAGCTAGACATGTTTCAGCCTGAAAATCAACAAATCTTGACAAGAAAAAGTATAAAAACAACGTGTGTAATGAAAATCAGTAAAGAGATAATCACTATTATCTTTAGCCCCAGGGTGCGAGCCAAACTGTTACCTCGAAAATATGAGTAACAATTAAATTTGATTAGTTATTTTAAAGATACATGATTTAGTTTAATACCAATTAATAATCAAGAAATATGAAGTTGAAATGAAAGATAGAAGTGAATTAAATCAGTGTTACTCAGCAGCAATGGCCTCGAGCTTAGTGACCTCGAGGTAGCTTAAGGCAGTAAGAACAATTAAGTGATAAAAATGAAGCAATAACAATGAAGCTAAAGGACAATGCTGATGAACAGTAGGCAAAAGGCAAAGAGTATATTCTTTTCTCAGTGATGATAAGATATTTTACAATGATTGGGGTTCCCTTTATATAATAGGGGAGCCCTACATAAGGAATATTTTCATTTACAGTAAGGAATATTCTTGGTCCAACTGTCTAACTGCCTAGTACGGAATAGTACAATCATATTCTGGGATTTGCGCCATGACTTTGGGGATGTGGCAGGAATCTAACTCATCCTGGTACAAATCCATAACGGTGCTATTTCAGGGTCGAACATACTCGACCTCAGTATGCATCGTGCTTCGCCTTCAAACTCAGGTCTGGTACCTCAAACTCGGACTTGATTTTACCCCGAACTCGGACTCAAGATGACCTCTCAATTGTAGAAATCGGAGACATTAGATATTGATCGTATACAAATTATTTAACCCAATTGAATTTATTCCAAAATTTATATGGATTAGACCCAACAAATTTTATACGTCTATAAGAAGAAAAGGAAAACTTTTAAAACTTGTGGTCCAAAACAATTGATATATTTGTGTGGCTATAATTATTTCATACAAGTAAAATGAGAAGTTTAATGTTATATTTTTTCTAAATTTTGACAGGGTCATTCCTTTTTAAACTGACTAAAAAGAAAATAGATTAATTCTTTTTGAAAGAGAGGTAGTATATCTTTTTCTTGCTAAATAAAGTTAATTTAAAAACAAAAAAGCTAGTTATTGTAGTAAGTTTAAAGGACAATTTCAAATAAATATAACTCACACACCTGAATTGCAACATAATAGCCTAGATACCACTTTACAAATCTATAGCCCAAAAATAATAGGCTAATTCCCGAAAGACAGCTTATTTCACACAATCAACTACGGCTAGTGCTCCCTCTTTATACAACCAGTTATTTTCATTCTCTTGATTTCCTTTGATTATTAAGCATTTGATAAAAAAATGCAAATCAGCCACAACACAAGTCAAAAATCCTGAATAATACATATTATTTGAAGGTAAGAAATTCAAATACTTTTATGTGCAATTGTTGAAGCAATCCAACAAGATAAAAGAAAACAAAAACTTGGTAAATGAATTGTAGAATCCCTCCAACGCGTACAAAATCTTTTTCATACAGCACATACATAATAAAGAAGAAGAGAAGGAAGTGTCAAACTTCCGTAGAGGCCTCTTACACACTGACAATGTATATACATCCTTATAAACTGAAAAATATATAATTATACAACATATACACACATATACACATTTATACACAATTATACAATACTGTATAAGTGTATATAAACACCACTTATGCAATATTTCCACTAGAAAACATAGAATATAATGTCCAACACTAAACTTACTGTAAATAATGTATTAACTTGTATAAACATGTATAATAGTGTATAAGAGGTGTTTGTATATCCATATACACAATTATATAGTGTTGATACAAACTGCTACATAGATATAATTTTTTATCCAAGCCTCGAGTTGTAGTAGAATGTATTGGATGACTCAACTCGTCAATAGGCTAACAATTTTGCGCTAATGATTCAGAATTCAACACACAGATAAGATACACTCAATTTCATATTCGAGACTTCAAGGTCATAATAATAATGACCAGAACATCAAACTTCAAAATCTTCCAAAATTAGTGGTTGTTTTTTGGTGCAAATCAAGTTTGAGAGCTATTTATTTTCAGATCTGTGTGTATTTTCATTTTTCTTTCAAAAATCTTCAATATTCTTCTGCTTGCCACCATGGACGACGGAGTAGGAGCCCGAGCCTTCTTCGAGCCATTGATGGCAGAACTGCGTAGGGGGTAGAGGAGCGGAATAACGGGGGCTAGGTTAAGAGAGGATGAGGATCTATATGGGTTAGAAAGAAAGAAACAAGAGGTGGTGAGAGAGAATTTGGTGTAATGGGAATGAAGAAAGAAGAAAATAATAAAAACATAAAAGTGTGTCTTTAATAATGGGCTAAAGGCTGAAAAGTTTCTTTCAAGTTATGTACAACATGGGCTAAATAGGGGAGAAATTAAAAAATAGCCAGATTTACAACGAGTCGTTCAAAAATAGCCCAGTTTCAAAAGTAATCGAATTTTAGCCACTTTTCATGTAAAGATAAATCTGAGCGAAAGCACTGTTCAAAACTCGAAAAATACGGCAGTATATTATACTGGAGTTCCAGCATAAGTATGCTTGAACTCCAGCATATTATACTGGAGTTCCAGGAAAAGTATGTTGGAACTCCAGCATAATATGATGGAGTTCCAGCATAAGTACAGTAGAACTCCAGCATAATATACTGGAGTTCCAGCAAGTATAATTGTCCAGTGTAATATACTGGAGTCAGCAAAGTATACCAGTCCAGCATAATATGCTGGAGTTCATACACAGGTGCACCGAACTCCAGTATATTATGCTGGACCGGTCTCTGTTTCAGCAAAATAGTGGCTATTTTTCATTGACTTCGTAAACGTTGGCTATTTTTGAATGACCAGTCCGAAAACTGGCTATACCGTGCTATTTTTACGCTAAATAGGGTAAGAGCTTCAAATCTGGGCCATTTTCGATTGGGCTATTAGGCCAAGTGACACGGGCCGTAATTCTTTCTAAGTTTAATAGTAATTAAAAGACGTCAAAGATTTCCAAAATCTATAAGAGAAGGCAATATCGTGTATTATTGAGCAGAAGATTCAAGAAAAAATTTAGCTCTTTCGTCATTTTTATATTGTAAGAGTAAAAGATCTACGTTATTTTAAAAATAATTAAATAAACTATTTTGGTGTAGCACTGCTAGATTCCTATTCTTAGTTGCTTGGAAGTTTATTGCATCGTTACAGTTAGACTTAACTAGGGCTAATAATTTTCTTTTTAAAAAAATTCAGCCTTTTAAATCTTTTTGGTACCCAAAGTAAATCCACGCCATCAGTTTTCTATGGACAGATGGCAAGAATTTAAGGGGGTATTGAATATAACTGGATTTATAATCATTGGAGCAAATCTGGAGCTATATATATCGATTGTTGAATTAACCTAAGAAAAGTTTTCAGTGCAGCGACAAAGGGGTTCAAGAAATGTTTTAGGTCATGAGTTCGACTTAAGCTGGACAATTTAACATTCTTTGGATCTACGGCCTCAAGTCCGGCCTCCTCCTGTGCTTGTAGCCTTGTAGGCTATGTAGGAAAAAGCAGCTTAAGAGTTTATGCTTATTCAACAAACGTTAAAGATATTTGCTATATATTCAGTGAAAGTAAATTTCTGTATTCCTATTTCCTATTTAGAACTTTTTAACAGCAACGGGGGGCACATCCATCAGCAGAATGAGATTTGACCATTAAATGAATGCTTAGAAATTTATACATACAATTCGAATAGTTCATATGCAAATCTCTGTGACAACAATCTGCTTTAGAAAAAATATAATTGGACTAGTTGATGCCAAAATGCTACAGGTTCTTTCCTCATTATATATTATCCAAATGGGATCATTCATATGAAAGTGAATAAGAAAACATTAAGAGTCTGTACTTGGCTTGCTATTCATTCCGAGTTCTTTAAGCTTATTAAGCTCAGGCAATATGACCGAACCAAGATCAGGTCGATCTTTCTTCCGCAGCTCAGCACACTTGAGTGACAATTTTGCATAGTTAAGAGTCTCTTCCATTGGCCAGTTTGGCACTGTTGGATCTAGTATGTCTGCAAATGTTCCGTTCTCGATGGCCCTCTCGACGTGATGTGTTAAACCCATCGGGGGCCTTGCAGTAATAATTTGGAGCAACATCACACCAAGTGAATATATATCTGATTTAGTCCCTAACTTTCCTGTTTGTTGATATTCAGGATCAATGTAACAAAACGTTCCTGCAGCTGAAGTCATGTGATATTGTGTAACACAATCTGCTACAGATGGTGGAACTAACCTTGCCAACCCAACATCACTTATTTTGCACGAATAGTTACTGTCTAAAAGAATGTTGGCTGGCTTAAGGTCACGATGGACAAGAGGTTCTGGTTTTGCTTGGTGAAGGAATAGGAGCCCCGTAGCAATTTCAGCAGCAATTTTGAACCGAATTTCCCATGGGATTGGAGGGGTGTTACCTTTCCGGAACAGACGATCTTCCAGACTGCCATTATTCATGAACTCATAAACTAAACATCCATACTCGGGACATGCACCTAAGAGTAGAACCATATTTGGGTGCCTCATGAGACCGAGGACTTGAACCTGTAAATGACAAAGCCTATCCTTTGAGAAGGGAATCCTAATAATTTCCATCCAAAAGTTAAATTTGCAAAATGTGCAACAGCATTTGGCTTGTGAAAACTCCCTATGCAAGTCAATCAACTAAGTATTTACAAAATGGTATATTGATAGCATAGATGAGAGAGTAGAGGCCTTAAAGTTATGGTAATGTATGATATATAGCCGACTTCCACGTTAATCAGTAGTCTAGTTTTTAAAAAGAAAAGGGTTCGTGGTGCATATCTAACACTAAAAATGGATTCTTAAAAGTGCTTTTCGAAAAATTGTAACTGAAGCATATACACAGAACAAAAAGTTTTAGATTAAGCATATACATAAAAATAATCATGTTAGGCACTAGAATGCTTCAAGATACATAAATTTTTCAGTCTAAAACTGGCATTTTGTCATGCTTCCCTTCAGTGATCCAGTATAAAATAACTCTATAGTTGACTTAATGCACAGAATTCAATAAAGAAGAAAGTTATTCAGCCAAACAAAAAATATGTTTTATACCTTATATTCATAATATGCATCATAAGATCAATTTCTGCCAATAAATTGGAGAGATAACATACCTCTTGCTTGAACTGCTTCATCCCTTGTGCAGCATCGGATCTCAGAACTTTAATGGCAACGGGTGTGTGATCAAGTTTCGCTTTGTAAACAGGGCCATATCCACCTTCACCAATCTTCTCTGAATTTGAGAAGTTTTTGGTGGCGGCCTCAATCTCTTCTATTGTGTATTTCCTATAGCAGAGATCGCTCCGAGATAGATCATTTAATGCTAGATTCTTTTCTTCTGTCTCTCGCTTGGCCTTCAACTCCGCATACTTTCTTCTTTTTGCTTCTATCTCAGCCAACTTTTGTGCTTTTTGAGCAGCTTCAATGGCAGCTCTGCCTTTCGCTTTTTCCATCTCAGCACTAGCGAGAGCTGCCTCTTCAGAAATACGGGCTTGTTTGAACCTACTTGCTTCTTCCATTTTCCATTGATGAAGCTCTTTAGCCTGAAAATTAGAAGACATTACATATGTAACTCCGATAAGTAGAAAAAACGAGACTTAGCATGAAACATGTGAAACTTATCCAAGGATAAGAAGAGGGAGAAAGCTAATTAAGAAAAACTTCTTACTTTCCAGTTCGTGTTTCAGAGGGCTTGTGTGGGATCAGAGACACAGTAACAACTTGTTCAGAAACTTACAAACGATTGAAAATGCACGTATTACTTTTTAATTCATACATTGAACTAATAATATGTGTCTTATCATTCTTCTATATAAAAGTTTTGATCTTATGGTGTTGCTTGGATGCAGCCATGTGGTCCTGGCGTTGGTTGCCCGAAGAATCTTTATTACTTTATTTTTAATTTACTATACAAGTTCAGTTGAAACATGGAACCCCTGATCTAGATATCTGCCTTGTTTTAAAAAAAAAATTCAAAGTAACAATGGACTGAATATTCACTTCCACAAATGTTAGTTAACATTGAAGAAACAGATTTCAGGCATCACTAGCATCTATGTTGCTCCAACGCTCTGAAAATGTCATCTGGTGCGTCCCCAATCCTCCAAAACTAGTGTATTTTCGGAGGATCTGACACGGATGAGGCAGCATTTTTGAGAGTCCACTCAACATAGACCAGCATTTAGCCCTATTAGCTCTTTCAAAGTGCATCTCCGGTATTTCTAAGTTTATACCTAGAAAACACATGTAAGGAACTTTAATTTGCAGAAGGCTGGTTTTTACATGCCGTTTGTCTAATAGTTTAAATGACTTTTAATCTTGCGGTTCTAGACACTTAAAAAGTTATACCGTTTGGTTTGCCGAGACAGCTTCTTTGCAAGCTGTGTTATACATATCCAAGGTTTGCCTTAGCTCTAGCTTTAATCTGTTCATCTCAGCTTCCCACTGCATATAGCAATTGATGAAGAATATATTACTAAATGAAACTGCTTTTTCTTTCACAACAATCAAAATAGTTAAGAATGTCTATATTCATATTTCACTTACTGAAGATGAGGAGCAACAATTGTCTTTTACTGAAACTTGAGTGAAATCAAGATTTTGAGTTGTGATATCCACTGATCCATGGCTAAGAGGTGCAAAGAGACCTCTATCATCAGACGGAGAACTGCGGCTATATGAATTCTTGGGCTCTTTAGTATGAACGTCAAGATTGTCCATTGATGCATTAGATGGTCCAATTTTGGGCTTCATCATTTCAGAACCTACAATATTTTGCTCTGGCCTCGTATATACTGACCTGTTTCGTAGCATTAGTTTATTAAAGCTCAACACAAACAAGAATTATCACCATCTCTTATAGAGCATCAGAATTTAAGCTGTTAGTCTATGCAGTTTTCAACAGTCAAACTTCTAATGATTTGCAGTTTAAACTAGGGGCACTGATTAAACTTACTTTCACTTAGCCACGTCGGATAAGTTTGTGTATAATGACAAACTAAGTCTTCATAGTAAAATATTTGGAAAAAAAAAGTAACAAAAGACATTTCGATGGCATTGATTTTAACATCTTTAATAACTAATATTTTCTTTTTACACCAAGGTATGTCTAATAATTGGAGTACTCAGTGACTGGAAATTGCCAAAATTACTGGAAATGAATACAATGAATTAGAATTGCTTAAGATTCATTTTGCATAAGTTATGACAAGTTTACTGGTGATTCTTGGGGTTTAATTCGGATACCTAGTAGCATCATGAGAAGTTAAAGTGACAATCTTTGGTTAAATCATTCTTGAAGACAAGCATACAAACAGTAGATATAGCTTCATTTCTGTTTTCATGTGCTCGCTAATTTAAATGCACTTGGGCTCAAAAGTATCTGTGAATTTTAAGGCTATTGGTAGTGTAGGAAGACTCGCCCTAGCCACTACAGTGACCCCGATCCCGACCCTGACGCTAGCTGAGAAGCACCTTTCACTTTTCCATTTGCTGAAAATCTGCTCACCCGGTTTATCCTTTCAGATTCCCTCACCCAAATTCATAAGAAATAGGCCCAGCTGCCTTGCCTTAACCTGTCCTCAGACAGCTCATATTTCATTGAAATGTTTGCCGAATATTTTTCTCAGTAAAATTTTCAGAGTTAAGGACAATAAGCAGTCAGTGCGCGAGTTTTTCCCAAGCTCAACAATACTAAAAAGAAGGTTGACCAGAACACATTCTCAGTTATTTGGTACCTGGATACATCTGATGATTCAGAGTAATTACTTAGCCTAGCTGCTGACCACGGTTGGGAAGATGGTAGCGTTGATGACAAAGAACTAGCAAAAGGTTTTGCTGCTGGTCTGACTGACTGTTGCTTTCCTTTCGAAATCACGTATACAGTACAGAAATCTGGTGCAGACTTGTTTATGATAGTTGGCACATCATGACTCCAAAATTTCCTGCAAAATAGAAAGAGAAACATCATCCGTAAGGTATTTATCCACAAATCAAAGGGAGTACATGCAAGGGAAAAAGTAATTGATCATACGAACCTGGATAGAGCACTCCTTGATGATGCACCAAGAACAATGTTGGTGACGCGGTGGCTGTTAATATAGTCTAGAAGTCCCTTAGACACTTCAATATCCTCAATGACAACCTCCTTCACTGCTATCTTTACCGATCATTTGAACTTGAAGTTAGATTTAATCAACAATTCAAGAGTGATATAAACCTATTTTTCTCACTTTGTTATGTAAGATGCTGCGTAGGTACGTAATATATTGCTCGAATGGTGCAAAATGCATTTACGCTAAGATACGATGGTTTGTTACCTTACAGGTCTCTTATAGGATGAGCAGTCTTTAAGCTTTGTTGACCTAAGTTTCTCACGTATGAATCTTATTGTTTTTGCTAGTATTGACGTGTATAAATTATTTCAAGCTCTTCTATAGGGCATTCATATAGCAAAATTGTCATCGAGGAAGAAGGCATAACACGAACAGAAAGATACAAGTTCTTAATTTAATATGCATTTTCTCAAAAGCACCACATGAACTTGTTTTATGTATTCTAGTCTACTAAATTGATTAACGTACCCCTTTACGTGCAGAGTAAGCCCTAAAAGGTGTAAAGACCTTAGGAGTATCTTGATCACTCAATCCGCGATTTGAACCTTGAACAACACCATTCTCTACAAAGTAAGCAGAAATACCATCATAAAGAATACATATAGAAGGCATATGTCATTAACATTCAATTAGGGAAGCAAACGGAGCAACACGGGTGAAGCCTTACACTGCAAAAGTTTTCACCCACCCTACCCCTCTTAGCATTTCTCTCTATTTTCAACTCGCCCCGCCTTCTTAAGTTTTCTTTTATACCCAACTTTATGAGAAACAGGTTCAAGAAATGGGTGCATTCAACAGTAAAAATTGTTAATTTTCATTTAACCTACCCCTGCTTTTGATTTTCAGAAAATACTTAGTTTTTACCCGTCCAAACCCGCTCCCCAGATAAGAGGTCCACTGTCTTGTCCTATCGTGTTTATGATTTGCCCGCCCCGCCCCATTGCCATCTCTGCATTCAATGACTAGCTTGAATGCTGAAATAGATATAAACTTTTAATCCACTTCTTTTTTTCTCAAAAGAGAGTTCTTCTACATTACCAACTTGGGAAATTAAGAAAACCAGCAGTATAGGATACCATGATGAGACTATATTGAAATAATGCAAGTTCTTGATTCAATTGAACAATCAAATGAAAAGAGAGCGATAAAATTAAAGGAGAGGAAAATATGATGAAAGAGGGAGGGTACCTACGATTTGTTGAGTTCTTTATCCGAACATGGACTAACACAAGCGTCGGATTGCTCATCACGAGATGATCAACAGCCCATTTGACAGCAGAGGCGCTGTGCTTGTCTTTATCAATGGCCACAATGGTGGGGTGGCTACCATCATCCGACGAAAATGACAAAGGCATTTTCTGTTCATTCACAACAACAACAACACCAACAACAAAAAATTGTTACCCTTTTTGTGCGGAATAATATTCCGAGGAAGGGATTCAATAGAACCCCTTGTGACTACCAAAAAGAGTTATTCTCTTTTCCTTTCTAAATCTTAATGGAGAAACGGAATAAGAGAAACAAGAGAAAACATGTCTCTATTCTTTTCTACGTGGAATCTTAACAGTTCGAAACCAAAGCATCAAATGTCATTGGTGTTAAACAAAAGATTGTCTTGCCGCCAAAAATGGTGGCTAATCTGCCTTTGCGTCTCCCTCCGTACATTTTTTCAGTGTGTTTGACCAAAGGAAGACTACATTTTGGTCCAAGTTATTTTTTGTTCTCTTATAAAATAAACGGAAAATAGAACAATATCTATCTATATATAATAAAAGTGGCATAACCATAAAAAGCCAGGTGGCATTATTAAGACAAAATAAACTACTTTTTTAACTAAAACCTTTTAAAATTTTGAATTAATTGGTTACTCTATTTCAATTAATAATATAAATATCTTATAATTAGCTATTAAGAAAACGAAAATATTAAAAAACATAACTATCCATTCAAATTGGGGAGTAGTTTCAAGTTGGACTTATAAAATTATTTTAAAATTAAAAATAAAAAATAAGAAAAAATTAAATTGCCTACAATAAAAAACGAAAATATTAATTAAAAAAATAACCTATTCAAGTTGGGGAATAGTTTCAAGTTGGAGTTTTAAATTATTTTAAAATAAAAAACGAAAATATTAATTAAAAAAATAACCTATTCAAGTTGGGGAATAGTTTCAAGTTGGAGTTTTAAATTATTTTAAAATAAAAAACGAAAATAAAGAATAAAAAATTGTCAATTCAAATTGGGGTATCGTTTCAATTTGGAGTTATAAAACTATTTTAAAATAAAAAAACAGAAATAAAGAAATAAAAAAATTACCAATTTAAATTGAGGAGTAGTTTCTTTCTTTTATATATATANCATAAGACGCTAAGTATAGATTTTTAGGACAAAGCTCAAAAACAATTGGTGTTTTAAAATTATTTTAAATAAAAAATGAAATTTGAAAAAGTAAAAAATTGCCAACTCAAATTTGAGAGTAGTTTCAAGTTGGAGTTTTAAAACAAAATAAACTACCTTTCTAACTAAAAAAAATTTAAATATTAATTTTGAATTAATTGATTACTATATTTGAATTAATAAATATAGATATTTTACAATTAGCTATAATAAAAAAAAAGAAAAAAAATTACCCATTCAAATTGGGGAGTAGTTTCAGTTTGGAGTTTTAAAAATAAAAAACAAATGAAAAAAATAAAATTAGCTATAATAAACAATGGAAATATATAAATAAAAGAATTCACATTCAAATTGGTGAGTAGTTTCAATTTGGAGTTTTAAAATTATTTTAAAATAAAATAATAAAATAAAACTTTCTATTCAAATGAAAAATATAAAAAGTCAAGTGGCATTGTTAAGACAAAATATTTTTCAAGTGGCATTCAAACTGGGGGTAGTTTCAAGTTGGAGTTTTAAAATTAAAAAACAAAAAATAAGAAAAAAATAAATTGGCTAAAGTAAAAAATCGAAAATATTTAAAACAAAATACATATTGAAGTTGAGGAGTAGTTTTTGTCACTCCCTTTCTAACTAAAAAAACCTTTAAATTTTAAATTTTGACATAATTGGTTACTCTATTTGAGTTAATAAATAAAGATTCTTATAATTAGCTATAATTAAAACAAAAAGGCAAAAAACTATTCATTCAAATTGGGGAGTAGTTTCAAGTTGGAGCTTTACAAATATTTTAAATTGAAAAAATGTCACGACCCGGTTTAACCACCCTCGGGAGTCGTGATGGCGCCTACTAGTGAAAGCTAGGCAAGCCAACCAACTGAATTAGTTACCTTGTTTCCATTCCAAATTCATTAACAATTAAGAACTAAGAGTTAATAATCAACAAAATTTAATAAGTGGAAGATTTAATAACACTGTTAATACCATTCCATAACAAATCTACCCAAGACTGGTGTCGCAACTTCACAAACTGTCTAAGAGTACTACAATTAAAGGTCTGAAAGAAATAATAGAACACTAACTCTGGAAATACAAAAGAAACAGGAATAATAGATGGAAGGAGACGCCAAGGCCTGTGGACGCCTGCAGGACTATCTTGGGTCGCCAGATGAACGCGAAGCAGCAATCTCACTGCGGTCCGAAGTCTACAACATTGGAATCTGCACAAAAGAGTGCAGAGTGTAGTATCAGCACAACCGATCCCATGTGCTGGTAAGTGTCTGGCCTAACCCCAGCGAAGTAGTGATGAGGCTAGGACCAGACTACCAAATAAACCTGTGCAGTTATATAATGTACAGCGAAAAGTAAAGCAGAAATAAATAATTAAAGATGGGAGGGGGAAAACATGCTTCGGGGAATAACAGGTAACAACAGAATATCAATAGGATTATAAAGGAACCGAAATCCAACTACTAACAAGGATAAGAAAAACAAAGGCAGAATTCACTTTCATTTCACATCTTGTTTCAGGCGTGCAACCCAATCCCATTTCATTTATCTCGTTGCAAGTGTGTCACCCGCTCCCATTTCATTTATCTTGTGGCAGGCGTGCCACCCGCTCCCATTTCACATATCTTGTGGCAGGCGTGCCACCCGCTCACATTTCACATATCTTGTGGCATGCGTGCCACCCGCTCCCATTTTATATATCTTGTGGAAGGCATGTCACCCGCTCCCATTTGCTATATCTTGTGGCAGGCGTGTCACCCGCTCCCATTTGCTATATCTTGTGGCACGCGTGCCACCCGATCCCAGTTACAAATCAACAATAATCACAAAGAATTCTGGCAAGGGAACAATAAGTGAACAACAATATCCTGGCAAGGGAATCAATAATATCATAATAAAAACAAGTAACAACAGAAAATCATTAAATAAACGTAAAGGACAACATAACTCAATTATCAGCAAGATTTAGGAAAATCAAGGACAAGTGCACGGCATCCCCCTTCGTGCTTTAACACTCTCTTACCAAAATAATAATCACAAGAAATAAGGGCAAGGAAATAAATGAAATCGCAATAAAACCCCGACAAGGGAACAACAGTACAACAATCGAAACCCGGCGAGGGAACAATATCAAAATCCTCTTCTCTTTTCCTTTTCACATTTACTTCACAACTCACTTTACAATTTGAGCCAATGCTCTATAAGGTTCAATTGCCAATTATACTTCCTCAATTCATTTTACAATGAGCCAACGCTCTTCAATATTCAAATACCAATATTACTTCCACAAGCCTTGCTCAACAATAGAAATTATCACAAAAGGCATGAACAATACAAACGGAGTCACATTAATTATAGTATAAGACTCACGGGCATGCTTGACACCAACGTATAGATACTCGTCACCATGCCTATACATCGTACTCAACAAATAACACATAGCAAATAGACACAACTCTTAATCCCTCAAGCTAAGGTTATACCAAACACTTACCTCAAAGCCACGAGCACAATCAAGCTTCAACTACCGCTTTACCTCTTGGTTCCACTTCCAACTCGCTTGTATTTAGCCACAATTTACTTAATAACATTAATAAATGCTAAATATACCAATTCTAATGCATGAAAATATATTTTCTAGTGTTTTACCCAAAAAGTCAAAAATCGTCTTGGGGCCCACATAGTCAAAACCTGAGGTTCGAACCAATACCCGATTGCCCATTCACCCCCGAGCCCGGATATATAATTGGTTTTGGAATCCGACCTCAATTTGAGGTCTAACTCCCCAAATTTCAATATTTTTAGTTTTTTTTCCCAAAGTTCCCAATTCCACCATGAAAACCCTAGATTCTAGGATGAAATCTTGTAAAAAGAAGTTAAGGAGTAAAGAAAATGAGTTAGAAATCACTTACCAATGTTTGGAGAAGAAATGTTGTTTGAAAAATCGCCTCTTATGTTTTTGGGGTTTTGAAAAATGAAAAATAACTGAAAATCCCGTATTAATATACCTATCTCAGACCCTCTGTGCGGACCGCACAAAATCGAGTGCGGTCGCACAGCTCTCCATGCGGACTGCAGTGACATGCTTTAGTATTTTTGCCATAACTTTTCCTATAAATATCCAAATTGTGATTTCTTTACCTCTATGGAAACTAGACACGAAGGCTACAACTTTAGTTTTTGAATTATCTCAAAATTCCTTGTAGATCAAAAGATATAGGCTTCCGAAGTCAGACCAGTGAACCTATGCGGACCGCACAAAATCGAGTGCGGCCGCACAGCCCTCACCGTGGACAACACTAAAACCAATGCGGTCAGCACTGGCGGGTTTAGAGATTTGCACTTCTCTGAACCTGCAACATCCATGTTTTAAGCCTAAGACATCCTGGTACCTACCCGAAACTCACCCGAGCCCTCGGAACTCCAAACTAAGTGTGCATACTAACTCAAAGACNTGGTACCTACCCGAAACTCACCCGAGCCCTCGGAACTCCAAACTAAGTGTGCATACTAACTCAAAGA